AACCGAGGTTGTCATAGACCACTGAAGGATAATTGATGACTGTGGTAACGCTTCGTGAACATTGCAGCCGTTAAGTGACTGATTGACGATTATGGAAAATTTTCTTCCCGTGAAAATCCGTAAATTTAAATATATTCATTGTATATGTAATACAGAATGGAGTTTGTATTAAATCGAATCAGATTTTGATTTTGATACTTATTAGTGAATTATCAATTATTTCACTGTTAAAGTTGTTCTCTGTTGTCGTATGTACTGTTAAACAAACCATTATTTCGGAAATGGGTAAATTATTTTAGAAGGTCAGTCAAAATCAAAATAAAACAACTGAATTCGAGCTGTCTTGTATTTTGTAATATTTTTATTTATTTTCATGCAATCATATGAAATGCATTCATATACTTTTTGAATAAAATTCACATTTATAATCTTAAACATGTAATTATTTTTTTATATTTATTGCATGACCTGGATACAAAGTCCTTCAGTCGAAAACATTTTAACAGTAACAAAAACAAAACAAAGGCAAAACAAACAAAACAAACTTAGAACAAATTCAAATTAAGTAATTATTTACATAAATAGGATATTAAGAATTACTTTTTTCTGATCTACCACGATTGCCAAATGCGATAAGTCATCTTCGTTGTCCGTAGAATTTTGTCATCGTACTCAGATACTAAAGGTTAAAAGGATAAAAGAACATATATTATGCATATACATACTGTATTCATACCTGTTTGAATAATAGGTACTTTCAAAACCAGTTAAAGCGTTCTTGATTGCAATGACTTGAATAAATTATTTATGTATTTCTTGTACATTATATTGTCATTTATTTTAGTATTATTGTTCTAATATATGAGTTCGCCAGGACGTAAGACTTAGTAATTTTTATAAGAGAAATAATGTAAATGCAAATAAAAAACGCATTGATTGTATGCATTTTTACAGCTCGAAGCCGGATTGTAACATTGGCAGTTTCTTATCAGTGACCTTCTATGAGTCTCCTTGGCTTGCATAATCGTGCAGTTTCAAATGTGATGTAAACATTGCCTTTTTATGAAAATATTTCTTTTAGTAAAAAATCACGCGCTCCGTTACAAAAATCTTTTGGCTGGAGCTGGGCTTAATACATTAACTAAATACTCTTATATATTACGATTTCCCTTGTTTAATAAGATAAATAACGTAATATAACGTTATGGTTTGGTGGAAGCAATAAGTTATTATATTAATTAGATATGAAACTTCACATCTAAGACATGTAAATTATCAATTTACCTATTATTTCTTTATATAAATAAATTAAATAACATAAAATTATATATAAATCTAAGATTAATAAAATAACATGCATTGCATACATAAGGGCTGACATAACTTTGTTATAATCCTTCCTTATGAATAGCCTATATATTATATATGTGAGTTGCATGCTACTTCTGCATGTACTTTTATTGTATTATTTAATGGTTCATGTATTATACATAGTTCAGTAGACTCAATGTTGACCCTGATTCTAACCGAGAAGATGTTAGATGTTCATATAACAAACTGAGACTCGCGTCATCATAGTTTACTGTGTTTGTACAGGGATATGCTGAGACACGTAGGATGACCCTGGTTCAACGTACTCAGATATATATACTACAAATACACATTTAAAAAGAAACCTTATAACATAGAGTGCTTCCTTTATACTTGTTACTCCTTTGTTAAAATGTATATTTTAGCCACGAAACTCTAAAGAAGTGAGGTGCTAGGTGTTATATTAACAATTAATTGCCCACCAAAAATAGCGTCAATGTTCTTAAACTATTTAATAGACACTTTAGGCACGTGCTTTGAAAATACGTATGGCCGTGACCCCGGCTCGGTCACGGCTCAGGGTGGGGGTGTTCTCGGCGAAGGACATGCTAGGGCGGGTGAAGGAGCGAACGGGCGACGGGGGCCCCGCCCGCAATGAATAGACCTTTCAGTAGTTCAGAATTTCACTTGTTTCTACACTGACTACTTACTAAAAGTCTCTAAGGAAATAACAAGTTAGCAATTAGTCAAATTTACAAGCAAGTTGTTTACGTATCAAACAATTTATTATAAGTGTTGCGAGTGACGCGCCGTGACCTCGGCCAAGGTTGTGAGCAACTTCCCTGTGTACTCAATCGCATGTATCTGCTTACCTGCCTGCCTAGATTATAATACTCTGTAATTTTTATAGTTATCTATACAAAAGCCGTTTTCCTGGGTTATTAGACAAGTTGTCAGAGGCATGGTTTCATCATTCACGTAACCTAGGATGTCGTAAACGTTCTGTTATGGCAGCTTTAAACTTTACAGTGGAATAAGAATGTTCATTTAATATGATATTGTTGGAAAAATTAATAAAAAAATACAAAAAAAATAGAATTACATACTGTTCAACATGTTTACAAATAAAGTAGAGCACTTTTTACACAGTAACCGGCTAATGGTCACGCTAAAACCTAACTGACCTTGGAAGTTAATTAGCAAATGTCCTTGTTGTGTGCTCGAATAGATAACAATCTGCAAATATCTCCTGCAATTCAGTTTGTTACTAGCTAATCAGGAACAGTATAGCCATGATAAATACTAGATACCTATCGTAGTATCAGTAGGAAGCAATTTAATTTACTCTTGCTGAAGGTTATGTTGATAACATGTACTTTTACAGCCTACTCTTGCCACATAAGTATATGTATTTAGTGTAGAATTACTGAATTCTGACATCACAAGAATGACAATGATTTTTTTGACATCACGTTCTTTTCTTGTCTGCAGGATTTTTTATAATTGATTAAACAAAACGTACTTGCCAGTAAGACGATTATGATTATAATATTACTAAGTATTATTTGTACTTTATTTTCGACATAGCTGTGCAACAGAAGTCACTTCAGTGAAATACTGTTACAGGAAAAAACACTGTACAGTTTCCTTTATCAGGTTGTCAGTGAGTCATTGGATAGGCGTCAATCACAGCGAGGGTCCATCAACAAGGGTGCAAAGGTCGCGCGCACCTGCGCCCGCGCTACCACTGACATTGCAGATAAGATACGGCTATTATTTTGTCACAGCTATCACAAAGTGACCTTACTGACTCCAAATGACGCGTCCTCGCAAGTTACACTGACCTTGTGATATTTATCTAATCTTGCATTTGCGAAAATAATGTTAGTAGTATATTCTTTCTTTGTTATTTGTTAAAACTGAACAAGCGTCACGTACACGGGATGTAATATTTATATAATTTTGCTCCCTCAACGACGAATCTATGTAACACAAAACAAAACTTTATTACCCTGTGGAGAGTTAAATGAACTTTTCTAATTAAGATTTCGAAAGTTATCTTGAATTTATATCATCTTTGTTTAATCCCTTAATTAAACAGCAGTTATTTGAAGTGGAAGTTGAGCTTGGTTTACATTATTGGTGCATTTATAACATATCGTAATAATCGTGACCTTCGCGGTGGCCGTCATCGTCGTCACCCGGAAATCGCTATGTAGCTGTAAATGCGCTGTTACAGTTTTCCGAAGCAGGAAGTATAAATCCCAGCCAAGGCAAAGTAAAATTGTACCAATCATTATTGCTCGTATTGTGCTCTAGATATTTTTACCTGCTGTCGAAGCAACGTTTTTAGCACGGTCTTTTATTAGGTTACCTAAAAGTAACTCCGTTTACTGTGAAAATCACAAAAAGGATGAAGTAACAACGATGTCCTTGAACTATAATAATGATAATGTCATAGACAAAGCCGTAGTAACTGGTTTGACCTAAGGCATCTCAAGCAAAGGCTGTGGATTAGAATCCGGGCTCGCATCTTGAAGTTTCTCAGACATTATGTGTGAAATATAATTTGAAATATACCATGAGCGTTTCGGCAAAGGAAAACATTGTGATGAAACCTCCGGTCGAAGAAGGTCCACAACCCTCGAAACGTGTGAAATCCCCAACCGGCATTTTTTCAGTCTGGCGGCCTATAGCCTAAATTCTCGCCTGAAAGGAGACCCATGCCCAGCTATGGGACGTATATGGGTTCATAATGGTGATGATATAACAGACAACCACTCCAATCACCTAGTTTTAAACTAGGAAATGGCCTGTAGATACTATGAGTACCAGAGCAATGAATTTAACTCTTGGGCAAGACCCAGACCACCAAGACCAATTTAATGACGTTCGTTTCCCAAATTCGTCTGAACCTGGTATCTTCGAATCTAGTGCCCAATATGATAACTGCTGGGCCACCACGGTCTTGAAAACACTTAATACAAGCAAAACAAAAAAGGGTTAGTAAGGTTAGTAAGTAGATCGATTACAGTAGAGCTTCTTGTGAAAGTACTGCTCTCTTACCTCCCTGTTTCTCCCGCCAAGTAGTAATGCGAGCATTACTGCGTTTCGGTTTTGAAGAGTACGTGTGTGTGTGGTGAAATTGCACGCACATAGGACTTGACAACTTATATCTCAGGGTGACGGGGGCAGTGGTACTACCCCTCAGATCTTTGCAATTAAATCTCTGATTGGCACTGCAACTGCTATGGATAAGCGTGTCGCTTACCACCAGGCGCACGACTTTTTCGTCCCATCACTATATCATAAAAAAGGCTAATATTTCTAGCCGTACCGATGATCTATCTAAGCTTATGCCAAAAAAAAAAAAGTTGCTTTAAGTTTCCATCATACCGACGAACGTTAACACGTAGTAACTTAAAATATTATACATAAAAAATGGCAATCTAAAAATTTTATAAAAAAGTCTTTTTTCTTTTAAAATTACTATACTTTTTAAACTATATACGACCCCTTAAATAATTTAACTCTAAAACGTACAGGACGTAAATTATTACTAAAAAATGTATTTAAATTCGGTTATTTTCGGTAAATTTTATGCCGCTCCTGAATTTATTAAAATTAATGTTTTCAAGTTTCTTGAAAGTTTTCAATACTGATATGAATTTAAAATAAAAAATACTTACCTAAATCTGGAATAGAGCTGGAAGGTTCCTCGAAGGAGGGAGGTTTGAGCACCCGTGGCGGTGGCGGTGGCGGAGGTGGCGGTGGTGGGCGCATGCACTGGATAACGGAGTGGGCTGGAGGAGCCAGCAACACCGGTGCTCGGAACTCCTTACCCGGAGGGGCAGGCAGCTCAAGCCGCCGCACCACCGGCAACATCATCTCAGTCTCATAACCTCCGTCCAACGGCTCCGGTTTGGGGGATAACTTCGGATAACACTGCATCGTCCTTATATTATTGTCCATTCAATCCCAAATATAGGCTAACTCTACAATCTATTTAGTCCAAAAACTTTGAAACTTATAATAATATATATTTAAGTTTTAAACTACCGAACAAAGTTTTCACACATTGTTTATAATGCACAAGGATGCGCAAAACGGTCCCTCTACATGGCCATATCGCTTTGTTTATAGGCGCACGGGCATGTGAAGTCCAAGGGCAGGACAGTTCGCCGGCTCGAGCGTACGGAGTGCGGAGCGCGTGGCGCGGGCCCGCTCGACTGGCGACTCGTTCGCTCGCCGCGACCAACTTTCTCTCACTGGCGTGGCGGGCGGTCGCGGCCGGACGAAAGTGAATCTGCAGCGGACGCCCCGCGCGCCGCCCTCGCCCTCCAGCCGCAGGTGTCCCTGCGCCCTGCGCTCTGCACCGCGCCGCCCGCCCTGCGCCTTCCTCCAGCACCACATACTGACAACGCTGCGCCGCCCTGCCCGCGGCCCATCCAACATCAACTTTAACCTTAACTGCGACCTTTGCTCGAGTGCACTGCACTCAGCCTGAATAAACATGAGCAAGAGTTAATTTCAAATAATTGAGAAAATGTTCATTTTTATCATAAATATAGACTCTACGTTTTGGTTGTTTTTATTATAATATTCACATGAAATATTTTATAACTGTAGGTATATAGTACTTTCTTTAAATTTACGTACGTACCTATATAGACGTTTCAATGTAATTAAATTCAGAGCATTTCATAATACCACAACGTGCTGTTCAAGTTTTAATGCAAACAAGAACTGTATTTTTTTTAACCTTCACACAATTTCTTTCATCTTCCGTGGTAAATAAGCTTGCATCAGCAATTCCCTGTCACGGCGGCTAGGACGTGCGTGAGCCGCAAAATACACCAACATTACTTAACTATTGTTATTATTTTAGATTTTACTCCACCCCAATAAGCGTAAAATAAGCAAAAACCTTACTTGATGGCCTTCGAGCAGCATGTTCAAACATTTTCAAAGTCGGTCAGCGTTAACGATAAATAAATTATTTTTTACAAATTCCGCAAAGATGGTTATCTATATCGATCTTCTATATCAGCGATAGCAGGGCTGCTGTTATCTTTTTGTGATAGCTTCTAATAGCTGTAACCACTGATAGTTATTTGGCAGATAGCGCAGGGCCAGGACGCATGCTATGTGACCAAAGTAGCCGACTACCAGATCCAGATAATACACGATTTTTTTATCAATTTATAACGTGCCTTTGTCGACATTTTATTGTGCATTTCAGATAATTTTATTCTTTTCTTATCTAAAATTTATCGCTTTCTTGCTTTGCACAAATTTACATTCATTACTAATCAAATGCCAATATCATATTCAGCAGCATCATGATTCAAAGAAACTATAACTTCTATGCTTTATCATGATTTTCGAAATTAAACATTGAAGCGTTGATTAAAATCTATTAGTTCAAGGTTTCATTACCAAACGGCATTATATTGTTTTAAAGGAAGTTAAAACTTTTTACCGTTTTGTTGTTGACGGTGACGCGATGATGCTCTGTTGAGATTGTTTTTTTAACAATAATATGTTTATTTATGAGAATAACTACCCATGTTATTCAACTGTCACCCAACAACGGCAAAATACATATAAATTACATTTTCCTTTTCAGTGTGAAAATAAATAAATAAATAAATAAAATGTTTTATTCGTTCATTTTAAAGGGCATAGTACAGGGGCGGATGTTTCCAGTTAGGCTTGTTAGGGCCTGTGTTAGGAAACTTCGCTATTCTATAATATTAATCGTAATCGTTCTCTATATAACTTTAAGATGATGAACCATAATACCTTCTCTCCTTAAAATTGTAACTTTTTTAAATCCTCCTAACTTTAGAGCACTCCCCCTTTGTGTAAGTCCTATGAATCTATTATGAGTCTATGCTACCTCAGACCGAATTAATTTACATCCTCATTTTGCTTGGGTCGAGCGGCAGGACACTGGCTTTGTTTTTTTTTTCAGAATTTATTTTTTTACAAACGAAATTATCGCCATTTGAAAAATGTTCGTATGTGTGTCCTTTAGTTCAGTTGATATACAAAAATCATTGGTATATGTAAAGTAAAAGTACAGTACCTATTGAATACAGCGGTTTTCTTAAAAAATTTCGAGGCGAGTTTGTGTTTTCTTTTCTATTTTCAAAATTTTTAGGAATGTCGTTTTCACAGCCTATCAAATATAGTAATCAGTGTATATCCTCAATTTTACTATATATATTTTCCAAAGTTATTGATTCAACACTTTCACTGTTATGCTGAATCAACCAAAGCCGCCAAAAAGGTAGTATGGACTCTTAAAAGTAACTATAATATAAAAATATTTCTGTAATAGTCTGTGTATGTTTTTGTTGACTGTTGTTGTAAATTTTCCTGTCAGCGAAGTCTATCACCGAAATTCACCGTCGAAATCGATGTTTAACTCACTTCTACCAAAAAAAATTCTAAAGAAGTCTCATGTTTTTTTTTTGTGAAACGCGCGGTGGGAACTGACTCGGGCTGCGGTGCATGATAGGGTACGGACCATGGGAGTTTTCCGAACCTAGCCCTCCACTGAAGTCGTCCTTCAAAATCATATCTTTTTATTTGTTCCGTAATCAACCATTTCTTCCTTAGCAAAGAAAACTACGCTTGTTTGGCGGTCATATTGCACTAGCAGCAAAATACTCCCTATAATAATTTAGAAGACTTAGTCACCGCAGTGTGAAAATTTTCAGCATCGGCCGGAATCGTACAGTTTAGATTTCGGCAACCATTTTGAATATTTCAAGGTTGTCCATCCCTATTGCACTCCTTCGAGTGACTCCATCTAACTTCTACCTATCTTATCTACGTACACATACATAGGATTTCGAAATCTTTTAGCTCACTATTGCAAGTGTCCAGGATGTACTTCGTAAAAGTTCAAATACATCACCTTCAAGTCAAACTTTTTCCAGGCCACTGATCAATTTTTTTCGATTACCTCCTATTTTCCTCCTTAATTTGGTATAAATGTTTTTAGCCCACCATATCGAGAAGTATGATTACATTCAAGTCAATCAATCAACTAAACATGTACCTTCGTGGCAATACACACTTACCTACAAGTACCTACGAAAAATGATGCCTAACATTATGATAATTGTTTTTGATCATTAAACTTAGCATTTAATGCTACTTATTATATTAAGTGTGGGTGGTAAAAGAGGTGGGGGCGTGAACAGTGGGGGCGGTGCAGTCACAGGGTGCGCCGGGGTCACTGCCACGTCGCGACGAGACCAGTAACGCTCACGTCTATTTTAGCGGCAGGTTTCAATGAACTGCATTTGACTAGAACCTTAAATGCAGTGATAGATATTTTGACCTTTAGCTATTATAAATATTAGATATTTTCTTAATATGATTCGATTCGTCATCTAAGGAAATATATAAATTAAATAAAGATTTGTTCTCGAATTCACAAATGCTACACATTAAATATAAATAATAATAATATCGTTTATTGCAAAACATGTTATCACAATTAGGTCTTATAGTAGTTAATAGAGTACCAAACATGTACTCTGTAAGGGCGCAGCAATGTCAATTTTAAGATATACAATTTGGTTACCATTAATATTATTACAATAATAATACATAAATCTAATCAAATACATATATTCTGTAGGTCAAATGTTTTAATTTTAAAATGATTGTCAAATTTAAAGTGAAAGTAATTTAAAAATAAGTCAATCAATAATTAATAATTAATTAAACATTAATTAAAAATCAAATAATAAATATTAAACAACATCACATACGTTGCTTTAATCCCAAAGTAAGTAAAAAAGCACTTTTGGTATGGAAATTGGAAACAAACCACCACACCACAAACACCCAGAACCGAAACAATATAGAAAAATTCGTTTCTACATTGACCTGGCCGGGAATCGAACCTGGAACCGGTGTGAAAGCTACTCGACCACGGAGGACGTCCAATTGGAATTTGAATTGAAATCTGAAACACATTGGAAACTATTTTTAACCGAGTGTATTCGAATTGAGAACCTCCTTTTTTTTGTATTTTTTTTTTGTATATATGTTACGCGATAACTTCGGCAATTGTGCACCGATTTTGATGATTCTTTTTTGTTGGAAAGAGGGTACCTTTGGAGTGGTCCCATTTAAATTTGAACAAAAATATTTCACCTCTAAGGATGGCAAACTAGGGGATGAATCCGGTTTGGCAAATATATGTAATTCCACGAAATTTTGAGGTCTGTTTTTTATTACTCTGTACTGAGATTATTTCGGAACTAAATCGCTGTTAGTCAGCAGTGACCGTGAGACCTGCAAAGAGCGCAAAATGTTGGTTTGTTTGAGAAAAATAAAAATAGTAATAATAAAAACAAATAATAGTTTCATATTCAATTTTTAATGAAAATTCTACAAATCTCAATGTGACTCTAAGCCCTAATCAAACGTCCAAGACACAGACAGTCTATATAAAATCGAAGGGGATTTTGTAATGGATAACATTTTAAAATGTGATAAAGTATTAAAACGTATTCTGAAATTTTTCTAATTGTCCAATAACTCGCCTTTTTACTGCAATATTTAAATATGTGTGACAGCCTTGTTAGTCTAATTCATAAAGTAGTAGTAGAAGCTACAGGTACATCGGACTATTCAGCTTTAATGTCTCAAGGTATTGGGTGCAGCGGTAGTGCCCCTGAGATCTTTGCGATTTAAAGTTCTGAGTAGCACTGCAAGTGTTATGGATAGGCGTGACTTGTTTTTTTTATATAATGCCAAGTGACATGCGAACAAGTCGTGCGCCTGGTGTTAAACGACACGCTTGTCCATGACAGTTGCAGTGCCACTCAGAGCTTTAAATCGCAAAGACCTGAGGAGCACTGCTTCTGCGCCCGTCACATAAGTTGACAAGTCCCATGTGCCTGTAATTTCACCAGGACCCTTAACCTTCAAAACCACTTGGCGGTAGAAATAGGTAAGGTG